GGTCAGAAACCTGGTAGAGCAGTACCTTGACAATAATCTCTCCCTCAACGTCAGCAAAACAAAGAGCTGGTCATGGATTTAAAAAAACAGGGTAGGGACCACCACCCTATTCACATCAATGGGATGGCTGTAGAGATGGTTAGCAGCTTCAACTTCCTGGGTACCTTTGTTACTAATGATTTAACGTGGTCCCAGCATGTAACTGGATCTACAAAGAAGGCACCTTAACATCCTCAGACAGTCAAAAAAATTTGGTCTATCTTCAAACGTCCTTACCACATTTTACAAGTGCGCTATTGAGAGTGTGCTCACATGAAGGATTACAGTGGGGTTTGGCAGCAGCTCATAGTGTGACTGGAAGGCATTACAGGGGGTGATCAAGTCAGCCAGTCCATCATTGGAGTACAACTCCCCTCTATTGTGGAAATTTTTGCAACTCGCTGTCTCAGAAAGCCTGGAAGTATCACTAAGAATACCAGTCATCCTGGTTTCTCACTTTTCTCCCCTCTGGTGATTCCTTTAATGTCTTTGAATTGGAGCATACATGCAAATAAGCATTTAATTGCACTTGTGCATATGACGAATAAACTGAACTGGAATGATATACTTTTGAATGTGGAATGTTTTTTATACATCACAATATAATTCTTATTTATTTTATTTTAAATTATCATCTGCTTCATATATTGTTTATTTGTGTATCACAAGGCTACATTCATACTTTAAAATAGATTCACTACCACGTTATCCCTGGTGCAATGGATTTATCCATTTCAAACAGAAAGCTCACTTCAATATTTTCAGAATAATATAGCAGCAGTAGAGTGTTAGCGCCCTCTCCAGGTTTTAAAAAGGTAAATCAGATGCATAATGGGACAGCAATGGTTCATATCTTCTTTGAACTTTATTGGTCTGTTCAGAGGGAAGCTCAGTTTAAAAGGGATTCTCAGCCCAGGGGGTTATCTGGTCCACTGGTCCACTGTGTACTCTGGTCATTACTCCAGCTCAGTTCCTTATCACAGACTAAGGGATTTTAATTTTCGATTGGAATTCTGTTTTTAAATGTGCTTTGATCTCTTAAAACTGGAATGTGATTTGTAATTGCTATCAACCCTTTGCTAAGCTGTGGATTTCAGAACTGAACTCGCTCAAGTGTGTCAGCTGAAATGTGACCAATAGGTCTGAAGCAGAAGAAAAATCGCTGCCTGACTGAGGGGGTGTCAGATACATCATTCCCACCTCTCCTAATCATACGCTTGGCTGCCTATTAAGAGCCTTTTAGTCAGAAACAAGGGAGTACGTTTTTAGTTTGTATATTGAGCAATAATTCTTAATGTTCATTCTTAATTACATAAAGACAGCATGTGCTGACGTTGTTTGAAATGCACTTTAACCAGAGTATTTTTCAAACTGAAGCTGAAGTGCAGAAAAAGAAGCTAGCTAAGCTAGCAGATCGGTCACTGGCATAAAACCAGGAAACACAGGGGTACTGTGAAAAACAATGTTAAGGGGTAACACACTTTGCTGCAGTCTGTTTTTTTTATATACTCTGACATCCCTCTGACCCACTCTCAGATTTCCAGGTTCTCCTGCTCCCCACAATATCTTTGAAGACCCAGAAGATGCACAGCTGGTGTGTGTCTTCAGCCCCATGTCCACTACATGCCACCAAGCTCTCGTCTGCACACTGGACAACACCTTGTGTTTTTCCTCCCTTGCAGCTCCCAGGCTCCAGCAGACACATGGGCTGGGAACATGGCTGCTGTCTGCAGTCCCCCTGCTCCCCACCTCCAATCAGATGCCTTTCCCCTTCTCCTAACAGGCATCTCTGTCTCCCCCTACTGACCACACATACCCTGCTCTGCCTTCCCATGGAGGAGGACGGATGATGCCATAGAGAACCCCTTAGGATGCTGGGAAGAAAGACTGGAAAGGAAAAAGGAAAAGCCAGACTGCTGATGAGGGTCAGGCCGGGCGATAAAGAGAGTTTAGCCACAGGGGTATGACAGCAGCGCGGAGCAGTGGTCAGGGTTCTGAACTTGAAGCTAGAAGCTTGATTTCAAGTTGCAAGTGAGACACTACTGTGGCTCCTTTGACCAAAATATGCTTTCTTCAGGAAGCATTTTGTAAATGCCGTGTTTTGCACATGCAGCTGTATGAATGAATTTATTAGACTATCACGTCAACCACCCTTGACGTTTATTTGAGAAAAAAACACCCTAATTCAGGGGTCTTGACAAACGCCCTGGCTTCTCAGGGATGGTGTTGACTGAGTGATGGACTAGGTTGGGTTTATGTCAGGTGTAATGCTTTGTATTTAGACCAAAGAGTTCCAAAAACGCTTTTGCCAGATGTAGTATCTGTAACAGCGATGGACTAGTCCAGCGATGGACTCCCGTGAAGTGTGTAGTTTGAGACCCTATGCAGACGGTACAATCCGGAAGGGACTGGAGTAGGATGCTGGTGGAAAGATGGCAGGATCAGGACGGGATGACAGACAGGGGGGCATGACGGCAGCAGTCCAGTGCTCAGGGCGCATGGCGAAGGCGTACGTGTCCGGAACAGTCCAAAGGGGAAAACAGGGCACAGTCCAAAATTAATAGCCAGGAGGCCCATGCAAGACAAAGACAAGGAAGAGGGAACTCGGAACCAGGACCATAGAAATTAAAATCAGAGTGACGAGGCCAGGCGCCTCGAGCCCCAGCCTCAGCTGGTCAGGACGCCGTTCGGAAGCCTAAGCCCTCAAGCCGCAGACGTAGGGCGACTTGATGCTAGGCGGGCCCCCGGGCATCTGTCTTCCAATGCAGAGCCCTGAGCTTCAGAGGCACGAGGTTTAAATAATAAACAGGGGACAAGGGGCAGGTAAACGTAATAATGAAACTAAAATACAAAAGGGTCAGAGTCCCCCCTAGAGGAGTGACAGTATCTGCTAGGTGCTTTGTTCCTACCCCTCTGACCCACTCATTCCCCATTGTGGGATTTGAGAAGCAATTTTTTTCAATTCCATTTAAAGACCCCTTTGTAGAGTGACTGGCATATTGCTGGCTCATAGACATCTTCCGTTTCAGTCATTGAGTCATCAATGTAACTCTGTAACTCAGTCATCTCCGGAACTCTTTCAATGTTACCGTGGCCTCACAGTGGCCTTCCTCACCAATTTCTGCTCAAGTGATCTGGACAGTGTCTGGGTGCCTAAAACCGCTTAATGATCACCTTCACAATGCTCTCAGAGATATTGACATGTAAAAGGAGTTCAGGTGGGTAGCTGCGTTAGCATGCGTAGGCTGCAAAGGAACAAGTAATAGGCTTATTCCATGCTGAAAAGAGAAGAAAGAAAAGAAAGAAGAAGGAAAACATCGTTTCAGCTGTGGAGCCTTCTTCAGGTGTGAGAAAGACAGGGCAGATAGCAAAGGTAATGTTGTGGGAGAATTATTTGCTGTAGATAGGGTTTATTCATGACTTCATTGGTTTGACTTTAGTGTACTTTAATGTTTTAGGGCATATTTGAGGAAATGTAATAAACAGTAAGACAGTATGTGATATCACTCTTTCATTTTTTTTTTTATTGTTCAATCAGTAAGAGTGCTAGATACAGAGCCAGGAACTCCAGCCCCTCACTGTCCCTGTTGTCTCGGGTGGCACTGACTTTCAATCAGCACTCTCTCCTGCTTCCAGGGAGCATTCAAGACCACAAAATGACACAGGAGGGCCTGGAGTGGAGTAAAAGAAAGATGTTGAGAGGAACAGCACTCATACATCTGAACACATTTTCAACTAAAAGGGTCCTCTATTAATTGATTGTGAGTGACAACGCCACATTAATCGGAAGAGGAAATCCCATTTCTTCAGAATAAGAATACAAAACAAAATATAATCATGCATCTTGCAAACTTGCCAGACGACATCTGATATTATGTTAAAGAGGCTCACCTTTGTGTCTTGTAGGCTTGTCATAAGTAGGCAAGACTGAGGGTCAGTATCCTCTTTTTTCCTGCACTGGGTTTTTTGCAGCAGCACATCCATTATGTACTCTCCCCCACCAACATCCTGAAACACACGTCACACCACTGAGTCATTACTTTTCACCAGCCAGTCTGCTTTGCAGCCTCTAATTGAATCTGAGTTTTGTGATAATACATGAAAGTGTGTTGTGTAATTGACTCTTTAACACACAGTATTCAAAGGTCCCAGGTTCAGTCAAGTGAGAGTGTAATCAAGATGTTTCATGGCTGCTCACTGAGGCCAGCTATCCAGGTGTGTCTTGATAATCAGTTGTCAGATACGATGCATGGAAAGATCGGACATTACTGTACAAAGAAGAAATTGTAAAGACTTTGACAAGTCAAAACAGAGGACCTCTTCAAAATGAACAGCGAAATTGTTCTATGCTGAAAAGTAGAAAAGAAATGTAGCATTTTGGCAGCAGAGACTTTCTCAGGTAGGAGTGTGAGAAAGGAAGATGGCAGGAACATCAAGCACAGGAAGTGTGACCTGCTTTCAGATATGATGCTTGGAAAGATTGGACATTACATGACTTTTAGCCAATTTCAGATAATACTGTATAGACTCTCTGCAGATATCAAAAGAAAAAGACACTGAAAAGACAAAAGATGATATCAAAATGTTTCATCTATGCTCATAGAAATCAAACTGCTAAAGTATAATTGGGGCTGTATTGAGGGTACTTCCCTGCAGCCCAACTAGCATATACTCATTATTGCTGCTGAGAAAGAAATTACCTGAACTATAGTTTCATTTCACACCTACAGTAGAGCTATATAAGGTCACTTAACTTTAAATACATCGGATGCTGTAATGGCTGGAACCATTGCTTCAAGTTAACTGTGATTATATTAAAATTATATCGATATTTTCACAATATAATCAAATACACTTCCTACTACAGTATATAAGACTGATCATATTTTAAAGCCTCTTACCTTCTCTTTCACAGACTCAAACGTGGTTATTTTGTAGAGGTAGGGGTCCTTGTTGAAGAAGTTGAATGAGTACAGGGCAAAGGCAGCAGAGTCACGGACCTCTGGGCTGTCAGGATCAGCATCGTGCAGAGCTCCTGCAGGTGCTGACAGCGCAGGGAGCAGAGCTGAGGAGAGGAGAACACAGAGGAGCTGCCAGTGGCTTGTCATCTTCTACTGCTGCCCTTCGCTCTGGAGAGACACTGAGGACTGGGCTGCTAGCTGGGTTTTTATAACGGACAGGTCAGAATAACAACTCAGCGATTTCTTTGTCTCTTTACCAGTTTTGAAATATAATATTACTGGCTTTTTAGTTCATGTCCAACAATTTCACCATTCTTATCTCTCATAGTTCTGCACACAATGGACATCCTGCACTGGTTACATACTTAATTGCAATGTTAATCTGTGCTATTGCAGAAAAAAAAAATGGTGCAATGTTCTTTTTAGTATTTGCGATTAGATAATGCTGTTTGATTTTTCCTATTTGTGTAATTACCTTGTTGATTAAATTAAGTTTCATGCACACAGGATTTGATCCTGTAAGTGTTGCAATACTGCGGCCCCTGATTAGATCAAACTTTTTTACTCTTGCCAAGACTGAAGCTGTGGGACTTACAAGGAAGTTAGCATACACCACAGAACTATCGCCACTGCACTGTCAGAATGGGGCTGATAGGGTGAATGGATCCTGTGCAGGACTCGCCAAGCAAAAAAGAAAACCAGGAAGCAGGTGAGTAGGTCAGAACACGAAGGTACAACGAGGAAGCAGCAATCCAAAACAGAAGGCGAAGTCAAAAACGAGAAGCAGGCAAGGAAATCAAATACCAAAGAAAAGAAAGAGATAATCACGCACTTAGAAGGTCGATGACAATCCGCAATAGCGAGCGGGGAAATGAGAAAAAGGGAGAACTAAAATAGGGACGGGAGTGAACGGTTATTGGCGTGTTATTTGCGGCGTGAGCGTCTGTTAAAGAGTGTGCGCATGGGAATGCAAGAAGGGACAGAGACGCGAGTGGGATTCATAACACTGCACTCCACGTAGGATAGAAAGCAGTGGTATCTGAAACGTGAATTATCCAGTATTCCACTTACATTTCATGTTGAAGGCCAAGCCTGAGAGGAGAACCACTAATTCAGACACTTAATCAGACTGCTTAAAGTAATAAAACAATTGGTTTAAAGTTCTTACTATTACAGCCATTTATTAGCAATGCTGAATATCTTAAACAGCGGAGTCTCAGTTTAATTAATTGCTTTGCTCATGATCAATTATCTTTTTAAGTGTAGTGTGGATGCTGAAGACTGAAGTTGAATAGTGCAGATAATCCTCAGATAGATAAATAGATAAGACTTTATTGATCCCGAAGGGAAATTGATGTGTTACAGTTGTTCCCAATAAACAATGGAAAAACAGACAGACACTACCAAAAAATCCAAAGCTCAAAACCTCTAGTCCATGTTAAGGCAGATTGCCAGTGACTTGGGAGTGTGGTTGTTACCCTAGCTCTTATTCCAACCTCAGGGCCCTGAGTTTGAGTCTGAAGGGGGATGCCTGTCTTAATGGAGTCCTCATGTTCTCCCATATTGATTTGTGTTTTCTTCAGGTGCGGGATCATTGTGATTCTATTACTAGTCTAAAAACTTGATCTCTGGTCCTGACACAGTCTGGCTTGAAAAGCTGCAGTTAGGTCATGTGTGACATACTAAATACATGTCAGATATACAGGGGCTGGGGAAATTAATGGAAACACAGAGTAATATATGATGTTTTATTGAGTAAAAAGGACTGTACCATAACAGATCCTTCACCATGTTTAACTGCTGGGAACAGACATGAATGCTCCTTTTGACTTTCTACAAGCATAAACCAGTCCCAATGTAGGAAAAGGAGCAAAAGATAACTCAATAGACGTAATACTTCCTTCGATTGTTCAGATCTCCAGGTTAGGTGCTCATTGCACCAGGTTATGGAGTGCTGCACATTGGCCTTGGTTACAAGAGGTATCTGAAGGCAGCCCTACACTACCACAAACAGGGACTTTGAGAAGATCGTGATGTACAGTTTGTGTTGAGACTGGGACATTTTTTGTGGTTTGATGCAAATATCCTGTTGAATGTCCTGTTGATGACCTTTGACTTGCGACCACTGTTTCTTATTCCTAATTTGATGCTTTTTAGCATATGGTTTAATTTTCATAATTATCATAATTTTCAACACTGGTCCCCTTGATGCGACACATCATTTTGCCATTTCTGTGACTGATGCACCTGCAATTTGGGCACCAACTTTCTATTTCATAGAGGAATGTGGCAGAGAGCAAATGTTTAAGTAAAACAAAGTCATTGTTGATATTAAAATGGGGTCAAACTAACAGATGAGTGACCACCAGTTTATGTAACTCCTTTAAGAAACAGAATAGCTTTGGACCTCTCCTGACTCAGAATGCAGACATTACACATGTAGCCATAATAAGTTGGAAAGCAATTATTTCATTTTTATTTGGTTGATATTTCAACCCACAGTGCCAACCCACAGACCCGAATTACTTAGGTTTTTACACCGTCGGACTCTTTGGTGGACTCTTTGGTATACTATATTAAAGTACCGCTGAACAAATTTATGAAGTCATTGGGAGCACTGAAAAACAGCAAGTAGGGTATTTGCATTTGTGCCTTAGATTAGTAATAATAGTGTACTATCTTCTGATAAAGGAAAAAGAGTTCTGAAATTGTTTATCTTGGTTTGGTGAGAGTTACGAAACTATCTTATTGTCTTTATAGTGGAATAGGCAGACTCCTGGGAAATTCAACGGAATGTTGCCACGTATTACACGAACACAGCAAAAATGGACAGAGTGACAAGACTACAGCACTGATTGCCATTGAGCAATGAGATCTGGTACGCATTCAAATAGGACTATATTAAACATGTTACATACAAACAGAACAAAATTATTTTTCTATAGCACACTTCATGCACAGAAAAGAGGACTACAGAAGAATAAATCATCATATTTCTTTCACCTTAGAAATAGTTTCTAGTAGTGTCCAATGACGAGTGCTTGATTCATGTATTTACAAAATTGAGGATTGATTTCTGCAACTCTTTACTGTATGGGCTCCCTAATATTCTTCTCAGTAAATTGCAAAGTGTGCAAAACTCTGCAGCTAGACTTTTAACTCACACTAGACTCTTACACTTAAATCTCTGCATTGTTTGCCTATAAAGTCACATATTCAATGTAAGATCTTGTGACTGACTTTTAAGGCTTTAAATAATCCGGCTCTTTTATACATTTCTGAACTCCATCACTGCCTCTCGTAGGCTCTGTTCATTTGAGGCTGGTCATTTGTTCACTGTACCCAGAACTAAAGCTCAGACTCTTGGTGACTGTGTTTTTGCTGTCTCTGCTTCTTTGTTATGGGATATCCCTCCTCCAACACTTGGAGAGATAAATGCTGTGACTCTCCTTCCTTAAAACTCACCTTTTTGCTGGGGCATATGTAGCATGATTTCCCCACAGCTTATCCTGTATGTTTGTTTAATTTTTTTCTTTCACTTTTTATTGTATTTTTGCTCTTAATCACTATATTTAGCATCCTTGGGTTAAGAAAGGCATTTATGAAGTTATTATGATTAACACCAGACTGAACTCAATGCAGAATTATCTTTAGCGACTGAGACATACTGAAACCTTTAAGAGAGGGAAGATACAAAACAATCTTCCCCGTCAATCCAATGTGAGACTGACCTCATGACCCATAGACCAAATACAGCGAGGAGACACAAATGGGCAGTCTCTTGAAAGGAGATCATAGCTGACTCACAGCAAAGCAATCTCAGCTCTGTCACCAGGAACACAATGAAATGAGACCATTGTGAAACAAGCTAGCTTGTTCACCCCAGAGGGCACAATATCAGCCGTGTCAACCATTTTGTGTTCATGTGGTTATCTATGGGAATATAGGTGCCCTGTTCCCTTTTAAATCGGCACCAAAATACCTTACTCCATAGTGCATTTTTCACAATATCATTTTTTTAGTAAAACTATAAGACCCACTATATTATATTGAACAGGTTGACAGGAACTTTAAGAAACAAATCCTGAAAAGGTCTCAGGAATTTATGTTGCTTTACTGTTGTCTCCGTCTCAAGTGCTAGAAAATGATAAAAAAGACAAAACCTCAGGATATTGAGAGGAGTAAGAGAGAAACTAGAATAATTTCTGGCCCAGAAATACATATCATACATATCAAGACTGGACTAATGCACGATCAACAGTGACACAAATGGAAATGAACTTAGGACTGGATATTTAAAAACACACAGACATCAAACGGGCCAGCCATGCTCTTGCTTGAAGGAGCTGATTGGGCAGTAGACTCTTACGGTCTGTTCAAAAGCGATTCATTGGTTTTTGCTTATACATATCAGCTGGGTAGCAAGTTTTTTTTTTGACGGTTGCTTAATTATTTCTTTTTGAGTCTAAAGTCACAGAAATGTTCAAAGCCATCATTACGGCATGTGATACCAGCAGAATCTTGCTAAAATTAGGTTCTTTCCAGTATTTGTTGTCTGCCCGTAATTTGTAAGTATGGCCTTGATAACAACCTTACAATATGTCATTGCAACCAGTTTACAAGGTAGTCAGTCACTACCTGGAATAGTGTCCTTGCTCAGGCTGGTAGTTAGATCTCAGCTGTCTACCTGCAGTACTCATGTCCTGTGACGTGACATGTCCAACTGTCTGGAAATACTGCCATGGTATCTTCTCATTTTGTAGAAAATAATCCTTTTAATGATGGATGCCACATGAGTTCATTCTCAGCCTATGACAACAGTCCAACAGTGGTGAAGTCTCCAGAGCTGGGCAGGACAGGACCTGCAGGACTCGTGATGTAGTCTCCCAGGGGGGTTCCTAGAGCTAATGCAGTGTCTCTGAAAGCTGTCATAGCCAGTTTCTGTGCCTCATTCCACAAGACGGATGTTAATCTGTGTGCCCTGGCAGGCAACATATGCTAGTAACTAATACCTGCTCTGGGGAAGCATTTGGACAAGGTCACATCAACATCATGGTCATGATTTAATATCTCTGCTATGTTTCAGGTTAAGAACATAATTCTGGTGATTTTAATATCCATATTGATTCACAACATCCACGTTTAGCTAAGAATTTTCTAGCCTTGTTGGAATGCATAGGCCTCACATAGCCTCAATCCAACCTCACTCTCATCCCGGACTTAATCACTGTAAATGGTTTGTTTCACACTGATCTTGAACTAGGTATTTCTGATCACTTCGCTGTTCTCTTTGATACAGAATTCCCTGTCTCACACTCTTTAACTTGACATTTTGTATGTTTTTCACAGCTGGCAATCAGATGATCAGAACAGGTTTGCCGAGTCTTCTCTCACTACTTTGTCTTGCTTTCCAATCTTTGATACGCTGTATGACAACGTGCAAACCTTGAACGGCACTCTTTTAACTGCTTCTATCATCTCAGCTCCTCTTAAAACTCAATCCATCTCCTGTAAGACACTGGGACCCTGTGAGGAGATGCAGCCCCCCACCACCACTTGGACTATAAGGAAATAAAACCGACCCTTTCACTTTAGTCTTTCTCTGTTTGTCTGAGAGAGATCTGAAACACCTGCAGGGAGTTTTGATGTGTCACAATATCAGCACGTTCAAAGTTTGATTTGCAAAAGTGAATTGTTAGCGAAAAATAAACAAAATGAAAAAAAATCCAACCTCGTTACTGTATATAATCACAAATGCTTAATAAAGCACTGCTGGCAGTCTTTGATGTTTCAGCTATGTGAAAAACGACAATGATGAAATTCTTTAAAGATAAGGCTTTGGTAGGCAAACATGGTAATGAAAACAAATAAATCAGAAGAATAAATTAGACCCTTTTTTCCAGGTGTCTGGCTGTACTCCAGCCTGCGGTATTTAAAAACCCAGCTAGCAGCCCAGTCCTCAGTGTCTCTCCAGAGCGAAGAGCAGCAGTAGAAGATGACAAGCCACTGGCAGCTCCTCTGTGTTCTCCTCTCCTCGGCTCTGCTCCCTGCGCTGTCAGCACCTGCAGGAGCTCTGCACGATGCTGATCCTGACAGCCCAGAGGTCCGTGACTCTGCTGCCTTTGCCCTGTACTCATTCAACTACTTCAACAAGGACCCCTACCTCTACAAAATAACCACGTTCGAGTCTGTGAAAGAGAAGGTAAGAGGCTTTAATATGATCACTTGTACATACTGTACTAGGAAGTGTATTTGTCCAAGTTTTGTCAATGAGATTACATGCTCATAATCATGGCACACAAGTCATCGTACGTATCGAGTAATCTCATTTACTGTATCTCGTGTAGATGTCCCGTTATTAACATCGACACGACGGGAAGAAAACTGTTTCAGGGAACATGCCAGAGTAATGAAGATCTCTCTAAGCTTACAGTTCCCCATTTCACTGACATTTCTGTCTATGATTTTACAGGGATCTCAGGACTTCTACTCCAGAAAAACATTAGAAGCCAAATTTATCCTTAAACTTAGTTCTCCCTTTCCCTCTTCTCTCAGGGACAGAACAAAACCTCTCTACTCACTCAAAGGTTCAGGGCTTTACTCTTTCCGCCTCAGATCGCCCATCCTGTGGATATTCAGTCTCACCTGCTCGGTCCTCTGTTCTCCTGTGCTTGATGTTCCTGCCATCTTCCCCTCTCTCACTCCTGTCTGAAAAAGTCTCTGCTGCCAAAATGCTGCATTTCTTTTCTGCTTTTCAGCATAGAATTAACCTTCACTTGTCCCAAGAAAGTGTCCAAGTTAGGCTGGAGGTAAATACTCACAACACCTTCCGAATTATAAGGATCAGCTAAAACCGTATGGCTGGACAACTTGCTCCACACTCTTAAACCCTTTGGTTAAAAAAAAATGCCTTCTCTTCTTGCCTTTAGTGTCACTTTTCATTGTGAAGAGGTCCTCTGTTTTGACTTGTCAAAGCCTTCAAAGTTTCTTCTTTGTACAGTCATGTCCGATCCTTCCACGCATCGTATCTGACAGCTGATTATCAAGACACACCTGGATAGCTGACCTGTTAGCAGCCATGGAAAATCTTGAATATACCTCTCACTTGGCTGAATTTCAGCCCCTTTAATACTCTGTGCGTTTAAGACTCAGCTACGCAACATCACACTTTCATGTATTGTCACACAACCCAGATTCAATTACTGGACGTTCATCCGCTGCAAAGCAGACTGGCTGGGGAAAAGTAATGACTCAGTGGTGTGACGTGTGTTTCAGGATGTTGGTGGGGGAGAGTACATAATGGATGTGCTGCTGCAAAAAACCCAGTGCAGGAAAAAAGAGGATACTGACCCTCAGTCCTGCCTACTTATGACAAACCCACAAGACACAAAGGTGAGCCTCTTAAACATAATATCAGATGTCATCTGGCAAGTTTGCAAGATGCATGATTATATTTTGTTTTGAATTCTTATTCTGAAGAAATGGGATTTCCTCTTCTGATTAATGTGGTGTTGTGTCACTCACAATCAATTAATAGAGGACCCTTTTAGTTGAAAATGTGCTCAGATGTATGAGTGCTGTTCCTCTCAACATCTTCCTTTTGCTCCACTCCAGGCCCTCCTGTGTCATTTTGTGGTCTTGAATGCTCCCTGGAAGCAGGAGAGAGTGCTGATTGAAAGTCAGTGCCACCCGAGACAACAGGGACAGTGAGGGGCTGGAGTTCACACTGGGACAGCAGATTCCCAGGGTCTTAAAGAAATTAAGATTACTTTTACTCACCAAAGTAAAAAAAAATAAAGATTCTAAAGAAACCTGAGCATGATTTTGTGCATCTTTGTTTTCAGAGTATATTTCATTGAATTTAAATTTGAAACTAGTCCAGTCTTTCATGCTTTTTTTGTGAATCAATGGCAGTGGGGTGGTGGGGGTTCACCATAGAAAAATGACAAGATAGGCAAGGGATCTGAAACTACCACTTCAAGTCGTGCTTTAATACATGACGAAACTGGAGTTCTCCAGCTTTCCATCAGACTTTCTTAAGCCCCAATTTAAATGAGACAAAGCTGTTACACTTGTATATAGCATAAGCTATATATATATATTAACATAAAAGCAAAACTTTAGACAAATGTACTGTAAATAGTAGACCAATTCTACACAAAACCAGCCTTTGAATGGAAACCTCTCCTGTGTCTTTGGGACCCCCTGGACAAAGATCAGGGGTCCCCTAGAGCAAGAAAGCATATACTGTAAATATTATGGAATTCACAGTTAAACAATAAGACAGTCATTTGCTCTGTTGAGTTCAAAGCAGGTAAGAAGCAGTACTCAATTTAGCAAAGGTACAAGAATGAATTTTCAGGTTTTAATTGAAGTCTGTTTCGGGACAGTTTTATCATCCCATCCGGTTTCTTAAGAAGTCACATGCTCACTCAGTCCAGAGGACTGTCTCCAATGGCACACCGCAGAACCCCAAGTTTTCCTCCTCTCCTCCGTGGGAGGACTGTGGCCATTGCAGGTGAGCTGTGGAGACCCCTCGAGCTGAGGCAGAAGTGCCCGTGGGAGGGATGGGGCAGCTCTCTGGAGGCAGACTTGGGTCAGCAAACAGGCGAGATGAAAAGAGAGCAGAGGCTGCTGGTACACCTTCAGGAGGGACAAGGGAGTTTCATACTGGGCTCCCAGCCTCATAGATCTGAACCTTCCTGGGTGTTGTCAGGCCAGGATAAGGTTATTACCTATATTACCTTTTCAACTACCATTTTTGTCTAGATGAAAATGTCAACACAACTCAGTCTTTAGGCTCAGCGTTTCCCCATCTATTATTTCTAGTCTGTCTAGAATGGATAGAAAAATACAACCACTGTCTTGGACAACCTCACATGAGGTTACAAGATGAAATGCACTGACATGCTTGCTTCAAGTAATACCTCACTGAGAGAGGAAATCAGCAAGAGGATCATTGTGAAAAATGCAAAATTTATTCAAATTTGCAACAGTCTGATACAAGAAGCTTCAATTTTCCAGGCTTAAAATCCAATTCTAAAATGTTTTAATATTCAATAAATGTTCCAAACATTAAATATTTAAAAGATCTTAAATATAAAAAGGCAACACCTGCCCTCTTTTTAAAACACGAAAACTGTCAAACTTCAGTCACAAAAATTATGTCCACTGCATTTTGAAAGTCACATTCAGGCAGAACAGTTCTCATTTTAAATACACATTGTAACATCGATATAGAAACCTGTTAAAACACTGCAGCAAAAAAAAATTGCAGCATTATTACAAAGGATGTGAAAGACAGATTGACTGGCAAGATTAATAAAACTTCAATTCTTTCAAGTATACCCAGTACTAAGACCAATTTGATATCTTTTCATGATTTATTAGGTTTATAATAATGCTACTATTAAGTGCATTAAAAATTTAATTAAAATATCACTTAATAACCATCTTTAAATATTCTTTTACATTATCAACATCCTACCCTACTCTTACGTAACTGGTTCAAGTTTTAACAATTTTGGCTTAAATTTAACTATGTACCTATGAAAAGGGAGACTATCATACTTCTGAATATTAATTATATCTACGTTTTAACTAAAAATCCTCTGCTCCAACGCCCAACGTGTATTTACATATCTTTTGGTGAAAAACGATGGGATTTTCTGCAGAGAAACGTTCCAGACTTCAGTACTCCTAAAAAAATGAAAAGAAAAATTACATATTAATCTAGATGTATATGAATCTATGACCAGCTTAGTAATTAGTACCTTAGTATTATGAAATTAATTAACATCTGCCCCCATTTATATAACTGGGTACATTATGGGAGCAATCTGAGTGAAGTACCTTCTTCAAGAGCAGTGTCTTACCTGGGATTTGAACCTACAGCCTTCCAGTTACAATCCCACACCCCTAGTCCACTACAGTGTATCTATAGAACACCAGTTCGCACTACTGTATCTTCAAAGTAACTGTTTATTCCAGTTAACTTGCTTGATATTGTCAAGGCAGGAGCCAAGAGGAGTTTGTCTACCACGACTCGAGCACTGAGTGCTTCTGTGTTGCCTTGTCACACCCACACTGCTGGTTTGGACAGCTAGCCAAACGATCGAACACAATCACCGGCTGACGGGGCAGTTTTTAGGACCCTGCAGTGGAGACTTTAACCCAACACTCCATGAACGGGACAAAGACCAGTCCCCAGCTGGGCTCTCACCTTTCAAACCCCTATCGAAAGACTCCTCCAGCACAAATCCGACTCCATCACCTCTTTGAGGCGCGGACAGAATCCACTAGGAGGGCACTGGGAACAGCGAGTCGCTGGACAGCGCACACTGCAGTGACGGACCCCAGAAATGATATGGATTATTACCGCTTCCCGCCCCAATGACTGCCATTCTTAAGCATCCTCACACTAATGTGAGTGCGATGGGTGTGAAGAGCACACTGGGTACAAGATATTGTACCCGAACAAGGAGGGATTAGGAAAAGTTTGTTAGTGGAAACTCCACTGTCACGCAGGGCTGTGGAGAAGCAGATGACAGTGGGTCATGGATTCAAAATGTGGGTACAACAGTACAGTAATGGTGAGACAGCCTCACTGCAAACCCCATCTTGAGTGTGCATAGCTAAATACAATGAGACAAGCACTGTGCCCCCCAGCACAAACCCCCCGGGCAAAGCAACAAAACACCACAACTTGCAGTTTTAGAATCGATTTTCAAAGCAGGAGACATGCCGTTACACCAAGTGGCTTTCAGACTCCATGTTTTTGGCCATCTCGTCTGTCAGAAAAGCTCATGACTATGCCAGATCAGGAGGGTAGAATCCTCTGCACATGTCTTCTAAATGAACCCGACTTTGGAATCAGCTGCGATCTGGCAATATTCAACTCGATACATCTTGATCTAGACTGCAGTAAAGGAAAAGCAATATTTACATCTTTTTCTCGAAACTTCCAGTCCCTCCCCTTTTCCTACGTAATACACAGGCGGCATTTGTAGAGCTTCTGGTCGTGTGTTCGGATGTGGTTTTGTACATTCCTCTGCCTGAAGAAGGATTTGTTACACAACTGAAAAAGGAAATAAAAAAAAGAAGATATGATTAGATGTTTGATATACTAGGCCGGATAAACACCATCATGGTAGTTTACTTTAATCTAACCCCACAACTGGTTTACAGTGCTAATCAAAGGACTTACTCTATAATGAACTGATATGTATGCAAGAAAAATCTGTATATTGCATGCCATTCATATCACAGTTCTATCGGCACTGTGTGATTGCGTTCCATTTCCTCAAACTGCAGCATGCCTGGCAGGCACAGGCTGTGAGGAGGATTAACCAGTCAAGGTCAGGATTATTCAAGCTTTTCGACACATGTGGCTTCTTCTGGATTTTCCTGTTCTGCCTCTTACTTGTTGCGTTTCCCCCTCAGACAGGTTTCACAAGACTCGCTACCTTTTCCATTCTGCCACATTTGCCAGTTGTTTCACCAACTTTCTTTTCTTGTGAAAACAATTAAAACAGAAACGCCACTCAGCTGCAGAAGAGGAAGGGGCGTGTGAATACAGGTCTGTGCTTCGCGTTTCCCCTAAGTCTTCACTTTCCTTCATTTTCTCCATTCCTTGCAGCAGACTAGCTCTCAACAGGTTGGTGTGAGACAACAACATGCCCAGACCAGGACATAGCCCTGCCGTTTTCACATAACGGGTAATACTACGGACAGCAGCTCATACAAACCTTCACCAGAACTGCACAGATTATAGTTCTTATATTTGTTCAGATCACTGCATAGATTTCGCTATAATGTTTCAAACTGAGGTAGAGATATAGTTGGAATAGATTTGATGCATATTAGTCTGCCTCAGTCGACTAAATTGAAGGATTCCCTTCTTTTAACGACAGACTACTGTTCTTTTAAATTTTCTCCATTCATTGGAAGTTTCACACCTCTCTTTTCGACTTCACACCTCTTGACCGGCCTCTCTTTCTGTCCCCTGCTCCCGCCTCTCACTCCTCCTCCCTCCCAGCCTTTGTTCTCCCGCTACTTTACCTTTGCCTACTGCCCTGTCTCTCTCACACCTGAAGAAGGCTCCACGGCCGAAACGTTGCGGTCTCTTTCTTCTTTTTTTCAGCATGGAATAAACCTATTACTTGTTCCTTTGCAGCCTACGCATGCTGACGCAGCTACCCACCTAAATTTAAGGACTGCACTTATCATTATCATAAATTAATACACAATGAATAAATGAATACATAATTAGAGCATATACCAAATAATAATAATAATAATAATAATAATAATTGCTTACACCTGTATAGCGTTTTTCTGGACACTCCACTCAAAGCGCTTTACAGGTAATGGGGACTCCCCTCCACCACCACCAGTGTGCAGCCCCACCTGGTTGATGCGACGGCAGCCACAGTGTGCCAGAACGCTCACCACACATCAGCTATCAGTGGGGAGGAGAGCAGAGTGATGTAGCCAATTCACAGAGGGGGATTATTAGGAGGCCATGATTGGTAAGGGCCAATGGGAAATTTGGCCAGGACGCCGGGGTTACACCCCTACTCTTTTCGAGAAACGCCCAAATGTCAGAAATAAAGAACAACAATATTATCTGCCAGACGTCATCAGTCTGTGCCAGGGTCAGGGGTTTCAATGCCAACTTCCACACAGAGCCCGGCGGTACTCACCGGGCACGGCCAGTGCTTCCCTTCGATGTGGCGGATTCTGTGCATGATGAGAGTGTCGCAGTTCTTGTAGAAGGCGCTGCATTCGGGGCAGGTGTGCGACACCACCGGGGCGATGTTGCCGGGGACTCTCCTGGCCGCGCGGAGCCTCCTGAGCCGTTTCCGCCGGAGGCTCTCCAGCAGCTTGGACTGGCCGCTCCGGAGCCACAGCAGCCGGCGCAGGTTCTGGCAGGCCACAACGCGAGAATGAGGGACCCGGCGGCACACTACCCACACATCAAACGGATACAGCGCAACAAATTCTACCGGCAAGTGCGTCTCTCCTTACAGAGGGTGGGCGGGTTTCAGCAGCCGCAGGACTCCCAGGAAAATACGGAATAAGCTTCCGCAACTAATGATCACTTGTATAAGGTCCCCTCATAGCCTTTTCTGTTCAAGACTACAAAGCCCTGAAAAATATCTGGTTTCTTTTCTGTGGACTGATAACAAAGAAGGAATATTTTTGTGGTCACACTAGTGCATTGTAACATTTATAATTCCATGACACAAACCCTCAGCATTTATAACTATGCATCAGCCCTGTCAATATAAAGTTGATTGCTCAATCTTAGATTTTCAATTTTCATTTGTTGATTGTACAGCATTTCCTAATCCTGCTATTTTGGATTCATGTGGAAACTTGAATGTATCCGAATCTAGACAGGTAATATATATTAGAGCAGTGGTCCCGATATACATGCGGTACTCCACTACTTACACTGCCCCAGGTTGAGCATTCATCTCTTATCTCATATTTCTAACTCCATTAACAAGTTCTCAGTCTAAAACACATTTTTCCCCCAAATGCCTAAAGCATGTAATTTGAGAAATAACCTTTTATGAGGAACTTAATCCATTTGTGTGTCCATAATAAAATTATTAACATTCTGGCTTCTAGATTTTAATCCACACTCAGGACCTAGCTACTATTGCCAATAAATGATAAAAATGGAATTGTTAAAAAAACTAAACAACTCATTAGCTATCACTTAAAGAATAATGGGAATCATACGCATTGCGAGTTATATATGAATGAATGGGTTAAATGCCACCTGGTCATGTTTACAGTACTCCTTAATGGTTCTGAAACCCAGCTGCTAGCACAGAGTTCAACACATTTCTCTCCCCGTCCTACTAAGGGAAAAAGAAATCGCTTCAAGAGCTCCACTGGAGTAAAAAAAAAAGATTAACAGTGGCACCCCAGAACCATGACTGGGAAACTATCGCAGCTCTCCTAAGGGTTTCTTCACCTGTAATGCTGAAATTAATTAACTTTTATATTTGCTAGTGGATTCATTTCCCTTCCCCCCCCCCTCACCTCAATCTCTTGCTAACGAGATGATCCGTTGTAGGAAATGAGAAGCGCTCACCTTTGGTACCTCCTTGGCGACGGCGGGTCGCGCCCCACGCTCGGCCAGCGCCCTCGCCGGGCCCCCATTCTCCAGCCCTGCTCTGCGGACGGAGGTCTGCGCCAGCCCCGCCTCACTCGACGCGCTCCTCTTGGCCTGGGGCCTAGTGCCCTTGGCCTCCCGCAGGCGCCCGTCAAAGCCAGGCAGGGCCCTCGCTTCTCTGACTGCCCTTCGCGTCCTGCCTGCTATTTCCGAAAACCCACTCCTGGAACATCCTTCCTCTTTGGTACTTTTCCGAGAGACCGGCTTCGTGGGGGCCACTTCGGGCGTCGTGCTTTCTCTTTTAATGGCGCTGCTCGACATCAGTATGGCGTTTCCCGGCCTGTACAAGCTAAACAAAAACCCAGCATCCAGGAGCTTTTGTGTGGGTTTGCTTTTCCTTTTCCCCAGGTCAAAAAAGGGTTCGGTTTTGCACACCACTGTCTGAAGGCTTTGGCTTTTGGCACCCAAATTCCAGGGCTTGGTTTCCCTTCCAGCTCGTCCACAGTCTTTCTGAAGCGGACAGTTATCCAGCTCCTGCACTTCCGCTTTCAGCGAGAGGTTTTGCCCGGTGCAGGCAGAGCTGGGAAACGTGCCTGTGCCAGACTGCCTGTTACTCCTGAGCACCCGACCAGAGCTCCCTGTGACGCTTCCCGGCAGCACCTCCAAAGAGCAGCCCCTGGAGATGGACTTCTTAACTTTAAGGGACAAGAAGGACTCCATGTGGCTAGGAGCCAAATTCAAAGGCCGTTTCTGAGTGCTGGTTACAGTTCCCTGCCGAGACCCTGCTGGGTATTTGAGCCCTCCTTGCAGGTGAGCATTTCCAGACCGGAGTCTTGAGAGAGGCTGTGTGTGAAGTGCGGGGGTTGAGTCACTCCTGCACCTGGCAGCCCTCGTCTCCCTCAGGCCGTGGGCAGCCCTCTGTTCTGCCTGCAACGTGGACTGCACAGCTGCGGCCCTGCTTCTCGTGTTTCTGTCGGGGGTCAGGCCACACCCGCCTCTCTTCAGCCCCAGCTCCTCTATGCTGACGGCAGTGGGCTCCGTTTTGATGGCTTTCTTAATGCTCAGGCTTCTCCTTCCCTCTGCCTTTGTGCAGTTAAAGGCTGGAAGCGTGCCGGCCTCACCCAGAGATGTTGGCTTGGACGCGCCGCGGCGCTCTTCTCCCGGGCGGGCCTCCGAATTGGGCTGAACCGTTCTCGGTTTTCGTCTGGTAGTCAGAGAATAGCTACTCACTTTCAGTTTCCTGAGCCTCTTCTTCTGCCTCCAGCCGGTGGGCTCCTCGCCGCAGACTACCAGGGATTTGCGCTGCAGGCCCAGCACGCTGAGGAGCTTGTACTTTTCTAGCGTCGTTGGCGACTGCACCTCTTCCTCTATGGGCTCCTCTTTAATTGGGGAACTGAAGGCCAAGGAGGAAGAGGACACCGGTTCCTGGCTACACTCTGCTGGGTGAGAATAACGGAGCTTCTGCTTGTACTTCACAGAAGGAAGGACAGACCCAGCCTCCACCGTTTCTTTCAAAGGCCCCTCCACCCTCTGCAAGGGCATGGAGCGCAAGGTCATGCTGGGGTGCCGGGGAGCAGGCGAGGGCATTGGCGCGGAAGCAGTGAGGCTGCGGGGCGACTTCCTCTTATTGGACGGCGACTTGAAATCCATGAGTTTCAGCCTTTTCTTTGAGCTGCTCTGGAAGGATTCCTCCTGCACCGTTGGACCAGGAGTAGCGCACCAGGACGGTCTGCACACGGCCTCAGCCCTCAGGTCCTCGCACGGACCCAATCCCAGCCCGAGACCGTTCTCGAAATGGGGTGCCAGGCTTTCCTCGGGACCCCTTCTGCTGGACTCCCCGAGCCAGCCAAGAGTCGTCTTCAGACAGTCTTCAGCCTTTGCCTTCTTCCCCTGCTTCCGACAAGGAGCCTCCTTTCCAGCAGAGGGCGCCACACCGTCCTGTGGGTCTTCAATCTTGCAAATGAACACGGAGGCGTCTGTGGAAGCAGGCGGGGGGCTCCCAGAGATACTCTCCCGCTGGCAATGGAGTCCCGAATTGTTTTTCGTGCCCATGTGTCCCTGCTCTCTCTCGATGGCTTTGCACACTTCCACGACCGGCCACATCCGAAAGTGCCTGGCCATGGCGGAGACCTCGATGAGGTTCTCCAGCTTCAGGGACAGCGTGGAGCTATAGGAGAACTCCAGCAAGGGCAGAAAGCTCTCCTCACTGTACCCTGGGAAACACAGAAAGGAAGGGGTGCAATCACTTAGCATATGTTTTACAGTACTTCAACTTAGTGCCCAAATTTCGCAACCTGTAAAACCCAGCTCAGGTGGTACCCAATTTATAACCTGAACTGCATGAGTTTGGCAGCGATTTGAGATTTAGTGAATTCAAAACTTTCAAAGGGTTTTAATTTGAGTTGGGGAAAAAAAGTGTATGTATAATGCAAACTATGCATTGGAGACCAACGGGTGTTGATGAGGAACAAGTAAAGGTTTATTCCATGCTGAAAAGAGAAGCAAAAGAAACACAACATTTTGGCAACATTCTTAAGTTGCGGCTCCACAGCCTAAAATGTGTTTCCTTTCTTCTCTTTTCCACATGGAATAAACCTTCACTTGTTCCTCTGCAGCTTACGCATGCTGACGATGCTCCCTACTTGAACGAATACATTTTGATGTTGCCTAAAATATATTGCCTAATTCAGTATTACACCACCTAGCTGTGTCATTGATTGCCAGGCAAACCATCACAACAGCTCAAGACCTGCAAGGATAACTACAGGCAGCGATATCATTGCGGAGTTACACATCCAGTGAAAGCAGCAGCTCCTGGAAAGGAAACTTCACATGGGAACAACTCCCACTGAAATGACAGGCGGGTGAGTGAAACTCTTACTGACAAAGCAAGTAGACGAGGCACAAAACCCCAATTTATCCAAAAGCAACACAAAGTTCCGCAGAGTAAACTCTCTGCATGACAGGAAAATAACCAGTAGCGATCTTGCTGCAAATATAGGGGTTAAAGTTCAAGTACAGCAAACAAGTCAGCAGGTCCACCTGACGTTTGGACCACTGAAAAGTCTATAGCTCTTTACAGGAGAGTGAGCCTGGACTAAAACAGAGATGCAGCTCTAATGCAACTACATGCTCCATGTGCCTAACAGGTCCCAGGGGTCACTGCTGTGAAACAGCCAACTGCACTGCTGGGCCAAATGTGTATTTTGTAGTCTTTGAGCACAGCCATAAGTCAGCCAGTGTTACAACCCAAGCACAAGGAGGTGACATCCGGACTACAGCCGCTCTGAAGAATATGTATGATATCCGTTTACAGATCTGAGATTGTAAGGAAGCTCAGGACAGGGCTCACCCGTCAGGTCGATCGCGGTCTGCGGACTGGCTGTGGAGTCCATCTCGGTGAAGATCTCCTGGAAGTACTCGCTCACAGCGGCGAGCACAGCCTTGTGGGCAGAGAAGGACCTCCCCCCCACCTTCAGGGTGATGTCGCAGAAGAGCCCCTCCCCGCGCTGGCCGTTCAGTTTGCAGAGCAAGTCGTTCCCGTACGACGACAAGGTTTTGGAAACCGGCTGCTGGTGGACCTAAAGGGCAATAAACCGCTTTAGAACGGACATGAAAACCAACTGAAACAAAGCATGTAGTTTTATGTTATTATAATAATCCACATAAACAGAAAATACATAGACCTGTTGCAAAACAAAAATAAAAACATTAAGTCCTTAATGTTTAAAGTAGCACTCTAAAATATTCATATCTCTCCACTACTATCATTTGTTCTATCCTAAGAAGGAAATTTAGTAATATTATGAACAAACCAATCCCAGGCAAAACTCCCATTTCCTGAAGAAGCCCAAAATGAGCACGGTTTATAAATCAGTACGTACGCTCTAGTCTATGTTGTTAAGTGAATGTGTACAAATGCCATGCAAACAACATCTTACAAGTTATGGAGTGTTTTACGTACACGCAGTCTCAATGAATTATGGAAATATTTAACGGCTTACCATTTCCACACGCTGAAAAGCACACCTGGCTAAATGAACTATCAATTCCCTGAAGTCAGTAACCGTAACAGGAATGGGCGAGAGCCGGTAAGCGAGTGAGCTGCACACACAGCAGCTTGCTAGACCGAGGCGCACGGACACTTCCTGTACGGACCGGCGAGAGTGAGACTGCGTGCACAGGGGCTTTCAGGAGCAAACGAGCAGCACTCTGGGTACGGCTCGTCCATTTTGCTTATTCTTTTTCAGCATTAGTCCATTTCATCCCACCATCAGGAGCTAAATTTCTGAAATTTAAAATCGTTTCGACTCAGGAATTTCCATGGATGTAAGCCAGTTTTCTTGCACAGATCCCCACGGAAAAGGCTGTTCATGATTTCTGTTTCACGACACTTGGGTGCAGTTATCAATCAGGATTGCAAAACCATGGATGCACAATATTGCATTTATGTTTACAATCACTAGATATTTTTGCTGTGTGACATTAGTCTTATGTTATAGATGGACATGAAATGAGGGATCCCTCACAACACCCAATTATTCGGTATATAAACCTATAAATGACATGAAATTGTCTGATGGGTAAACCTGCCTGGGCAGATCCCTGTTCACAAGTTTTAAAACGAGCTTGCACTGCAGCTCATAAAATACCCATTTCTTTTTTCAGCATCCTCAACACAAACCATTAATAATTCCCTCGATGCCTCAATGACACCCTTTTTTGAATTTCTTTGAGAAAACCAACAGAACAATTACAGTTATCTAACCATCTAAAGCATTTTTTGGGGGGTGATGGAAAAAATGAAGCACCAAGGGTGAATGTAACCCCACTGGGCTCAGTTCATATCTGCTGGAATAACTGCCTTGAATTGAGGGCTACATTTTCTTCTAACTGTTGCACCCACCAAAGAGAGAAACTTCATTTAAAAATGTACCCCTGCAGCATAATGACAATGTGCCTTTCAGCATATACAGAAAATTAAGACAATTTTACACTTGGGTGTCCAAAATCAGAAAAAATAAAACCTCCTCTAATTGTCAGACATGCACCCTGTGGTTGGTGTGCACTCCATGCTTTAAGCCTGTGACTAAACTATTTTACTCGCCCTTAACCTGCAAAACCCCCTATATAGCACTCTGGAAGCACAAAGAAAGTGCTGAACACTGAGTTTAAGTGGACAGATCATCATCTTCGCCAACTCAAAAGAAACACTGTATCATATACACATTTCATGCACAAATACCATAATTAATTAGGAATGGTTGTCATTCGTGGAGACATTCATTCAGCCCACCTAGTCCATTTGGCATTTAGTAGCTAATTGATCCTAAGATCTCATCTGTCCATTTCTTGAAAGAAGCCATTCAACAGCATGGCTGGTAGCTTGTTCCACACTCCCATACACCCACAAACCCACATTACGGTAATATCACCACATGTGTGGAAAAGAGATTCCATTTTAAAATCATTAGATGTGAAATATGGGCTTTGAATAGCATCTCTGTGCTTGAAACATCCTTTAGCTTTCATCTTTAAGTTTAACACTCCACATGAAGTACTGTTCCTTCACAGAAATGTATAAATCACACAGCCTTCAGAAGGCCAGGGCCAACCACAGGCACTTACATGTCCTCCATCATGTTTCTCTCTGCATTCCTCACATCCCAGGACGTATTCTCGGATGTGACAAAACATTCCTGAAACACAAAGCGAAAACCTCTGAAACCTTTGTTTTAATGCTACATTGTACAGGCTATTTCAACTTGCGTTTAGTTTGTAAGTATTCCGTTTACAATATAAATTACACATTAAATAAAGATAAAAATAAATTTAAATTAAATTTAATTTAAAAATGCCAATTGGAATCATTTTAAGAGGTATAAAGTTATTTACAACCAAGCTAATGAAAACGACGAGACCCCTTTTCCTGCAACATAGTCAATATGGCACACTCCCATCCACCCTTTGAAAAAGTCATTTAGATGTAAAAAAGACCCCTCTATGTTTTTTAAAGAACAATTCAAAGCTGCGACCTTGTTTTACGCATGCCTTTTAGGAAAAATATGTGGAAGAATAAACATCTTTGAAAATCTCTATGAAAAGAAGAACATGTTGGACATACTTGGTCTTAAAAACAAATACTAGCTTGTACAACTAAAAATATTTCTATCTAAAAAAGACAATGGAAAACTTCTCAAATAAATCAATTAGCACTTTCTGCAGAAACTTCATACAAGAAATAATGCAAGAGAATAAGTTTTATGAACACATTTATAGGCTAATTTGTTACATCAGTTGCATGATAATGGATATTAAAAAACATAATATAATTGGGTGGCATAATGGCATATTGCCTCCTCCTAGCACTGTGGCCCTGGGTTCAATTCTTGACCTGGGGTGCTATCTGTGTGGAGTTTGTATGTTCTCCCTGTGTACAAGTGTGCTGCCTCTGGGTTCTCCAGTTTCCTGTCTCAGTCCAAAGACATACTAGTGCGTTAATTGGCTCCTGTGAAAACTGGCCCTAATGTGAGTGTGTGCATCTATGTTTGTCTGCCCTTCCTATGATGGACTGGCAACCCATCCAGGGTGTATCCTGCCCTGCACCCACTGCTTGCCAAGATAAGATTCCAGCTCTCCTTCGTCACTGAATTGGAAGAAGCAGCTCAAAAACAGGTGTTTTTTTATCTTAAAAAGTCACTAACTTGCATTTGAGTGCTCTCTTGATAGAAGTACTAAGAAAGTCGATTAGAAGCAGCCCCAAAACAAAAGTAAAGTGAGTTCCAGAAAGACAGGAAGATATCCCTTTTAATGGAGCAGCACTGTGTTTCGAATCTCCAACCTGTCTTTAGATATTTTAAAATGTCATCGTATGGACCTCATTTTGTTCTGGAGCCCTTAAAAGTTGACTTGGGTCATCCTGCTCAGATAGACATCTTTAAAAAGTCAATTCAATGAATGAAGGCTTTGATCCTTGATTGCTTAATTAAACCAAGCGCTCAAGACCACGTATAATAATGACTCACTGTAGGAAAGAACTCAAGTTGGTAAGACAGTCTCGCCAGTGCGAACGGCCGCCTGTGTCTGTACAGCGTGCTGTTAACGGTCATATAATTCTGTAAAGGCGCTATATCAAATGAAAGACTGATCAATTGACTTGTGAAAAGGCTTGCACACCACATCACTTGAACCATCGCACGTCCTTGCAGCGTGAGCATGACAAATCAAAGCTCCAGATAAGCCAAGCGCAACTCACTTCTTTTGAGCTGCTCCTGTAGGACAGTTAGGGCTGTATGAGACTTGGAAATATTTCACCACTGGTTGTTTTGGGGGAATACCCTCCAACGAGCACATACCAAAAATTGCCAAATGAAACCAGGGGATAATGAAGCTTTATTGTGTAAAATGTGACTTCGCGCTTTTGTCAAAACAGAAGCCTACCAGAATAAGCATTTAGTGCCGTGTGATTTTACTGGTCTGTGCTTTTACCGAACACCTCTGAGAAAATGAAGAACAGTTTTATTTGGGTTGGGTTTTCCAACGATTTTGGTGTGCATAGAATGATTGCTGGTTGATTCAAGGCACTTTTAAGGATTGTACATTACAGCAATAATAACGTGGGTCATTCCTGCCTAATTCCCAGCAAGCACAAAGAGATCTGTCATTGCACTGGACTGTAAATCCTTGACATCACTTCCTGAATACACCATTCCGTCATTCCTGAGTGTTGTATGATGTCAACACCACGGGCTGCCACACAACTTGACGCCAAAGGAATCGGGTTTTGGAACCGAAAGTAAAAACATGCAGTGGACATGTTCGTTTTCGTCGTTTTACACCTTCAAAGCTGCCAAGCAGTGGCATAGCGAGAGTTTAACATACAGAGCAAGATCAAGTTAATTAATGGTACTGCCATACATAAATTAACACTAGCAAACGATTCACGCGTCTGATTTAGAAATCATACTGTGAAATTAAAATGAATCTCGTTATCGTTTTCACAACACAATATAATATTGCAACTAGTACAAAAACCGAACAGCACTAAATCACTTCACCACTGAAAGTATTTTGTTTTTCCTCTTGTACGAGCCAGGTGATATTAAGGAGCGGTTAAATGATCCGTCTAGTTTTTAAGCCATCCTGCGAAAATAAAACTTCTAAGAACCATTTTTACCATCTCTGGTAAAAAACAAACAAACAGTTAAGGTACGTAAAATAATTGGAGAATCTACGACTGCAAAAATAAATGTCATTTAAAAACCAAAAGGTGAATCTTAGCTCCGATACCAGAGAATTGCGAACCGCGTGTAACTTGTCCACACTTGATATGTCCAGCGGTGCACCGTGCGCTACAGCTCCAGGTAGACATACGATAATTTAACCCCCCCTGCAGTAAACATATAGGAGACTGTACCTTCCCACCAGTAGTTTTCTGCCACAAATCTGTAGGTATCCTCCAGGGTGTGGTGCGTCTTCCCCAGCCTCTTCTGATGAAAAGTTGCAATGGCATTGCGCCTCCTGTCCGTGTCCAGCACTTCTCTGTAGTTAATGTATCCCTTCTCCAACTTTTTACGGTACAAAACTCCATCGATGACCTCGAAGAAGGGCGAGGATACCGTTTCCCCCTCTGCGGAATCACTGATAAGCGCATTCCCTCCAAGTTCCTGCTTTTCCAGCAAATGTTTGTTACAGAAAGTGTCCTCATTAGCATAGGGCTTGTTGTAGGCGCAGTCGCCGGCCATTTTTTTGCCGGCTTCCTTGTTTACCAGCCTTTTTTTTATCGTTTTGTAGTTCCCCAAAGCAATTATTTGCTTTTACTTTTCGTTTAAACCCGGCAAGAACAGTTAAATTAATTCACTCGCAGCTCCTGAAACAGCTCTTTAGCCTTGAAACTAAAGCCACGCAACTCAACTAACATTTCTCGCGCAGTTAAAGATCCTAATCACACTCGCAAAGCTTCTCCTAACTTTATGCGAGATTTACTAGCACCCTAAATACCTGAAAATGGTAATAAAGTATGCGTCCAATCAAGCATGTTCAATAACGTGTTACTACTATTGATATGTATAAAAAACATAAATGATGTATCAAAAAACACCGTAAAGGTTATGTTAAGCAACCTGATGTCATGTACGTATATATATATACGGTCTTTGGAAAAACAAATGTAGTGAATTTTAAAACGGTTGTACTCGAAATTAGATCATTTTCATGCAAACAATCTTTCACAAAATGTACGGGCAAATATTATTCAAAATGTCAAAAAAAAAAAGATTACAAATTCATTCGACCGCACTCCGCGTCACGAATTATAACTCCAGCGACATGTGGCTCAAACAGCCACTCTCTGTACTTTCTAGACCAGATGTCATGTTCCTCGAATCGGGTCCACAAAACAGAAAACATAATTAAAACATCTACGTTAGATTTGAGTAGACTGCGCTAACAATTTAAAAAAAAAAACTTTGGTTCACGCTATTTTTTTTTTTGCGCGTTTGTAGTCTGATGTAACTTTGCTCCTACCAATTCCAAAACGCACCGCTTATTTCTTGGCAAACCCGGGCGCACAAGGCAAAGCAAACTGCAGCGACAAAACTACCACCCTGGGCTAGGTCTCTAGTCAGATGATCAGCTTATCTTTGAGCCCACTAGTGGAAGCTGTAGTCCAACCCATCACCGTGCGCTTCAAACCATCCTGCGCAGCAAAACAATTTGATCTTTTTTTTTTCCCAAAAAAAAAAATCAAGTCGCACGTCCTTTCACTCGGTCCGGGGTTCCGACAGTGCCGTTGAAGAGCCACCCTCCAGGGAGGCAGATACTCCAAACCGCAGAATTAAAACTATCGGCCGAAATGTATCAATATTTAGCTCTTCTGTCGCCACAACTCCTTCAGCTCTCCCGTAGTCAGATGATCAAATAATCCAATTCTTTAACTCGTAACCTTCTACTGGTTACCATGGGTCAACCTAACTTGGTAAAAAAAAAGGCATCGATCGCCCTCCCTATGCCAAAGCCCATTAGCAGAGAGTTTTAGGAGCTCCCACTTCTGACGATACTATTGGTTACTAGTCGCGTCACTCACAGTGGTGGTGATTTTTTTTCCCTTTCTTGTTTTAAATAAATCAAGATAGGTTGATGACATAAGCGTTGTCCGTCTCTGCAGCAGGCGGACGGGTTAATTGTTTCAAAACAAGTGTATCTGTGCTGAGAAGCTTGTGCAACAATGAATAACTGCGCTCTTTCAAGGAATGTTTAAAGGTGGAAAGTGGGAATTAATTAAAGATTAATCAAATGGTTAACACGTCTCACATCACACGGTTTTATTTTGTGGACTTAAACTGATGTTCTATCACCCTTTAAAGAAAAAGCTTAGCATAGTAGTTACCTAATTATAAATCATACAGGATTTTTTTTTCATAAAATGAGTATTTAAAACGAAGTAATGTAATGCGTGGTTTATGTTTAAAGTTTGGAATTAAATGGAAGCACGAAACAATTAGGCTTCAAGATACAATACTACAGTACATACAACAAAAATTACCATGAGAGGGATTTCGTGAAAGTTACGTTATTTTTGTATATTAGTGCTCACCTGGTCTATTTTTTCATTTTAAATTTATTAAAGCAATTTTTTACATTATTTTTTTGCCATTTCAGTTAACATATGTGGAGATGTGTATCAATGTATACATTCCTTTGTATTTAAGTGTAACAGCTAATTCAGCGTACTCCGCTGAAATGAGCGTAAACTTATTTTGATCAAATTGAGAAGAAAATTCCCTCAGTGAATATAGTTTAAATACGGTGCAATTTATAGTATTTAAAAATGTGTTATAAATACACAATACATTTGTTTGTTATAGGTCAAATCGCTAATACACTCTGCTTGTAAAATAGAATCTGCTTAGTTGCATGTATTACGTAACCTTGCTCGTTCAACAATTACTTAAATAGTAATGTGAAAACGTGTCTCGTCCTCCTGAATTTTATCGACATTATTTTTTCAAAGTAAAAAAATGTATTCTAAAATGTGTTCACCGAATTGTAATATGTGTTTCCATATGAAATCTCGTACAATAAAACGCGTAATGTGTATCAATAAAGATAGTCTCGTCCGTCGACAATTTCACCAAATTACATTCAATGTAAGGATGTTTTTAATTTATATATGTTTATGCTTTTTATATACCTTTATACAATTGCTAAAAATAATCTAAAATTAATCATCTTGTGCAAACTTTAAGAACTGCAGTCGTGTGAAATAAATCTTTTCAAGCTGCACACAGAGTTTAAGATGTGTGTTCCACGGTTCTGAGCAGCAGCAAAGTTCATGCTAACTACTGGCCTCAGAGACATCCGAGACCTGCTCAGAACAGGCTCAAAGTGAATGTCCTGGCCTTGTCTTATGTCTATAAAACTGCCTTTCCTGAAATTACTTCCGAAAACAGGCTTCACACGTATCAAAGAAAGTCCTGTCTTTACTTGGAAATATGTAGCCTAATATAGAGGTACAGTGTGTGTCATTGACGTTTTTGTCATGAGCATACCCTGTTATAGTTCTCCATTCTCTCCACAGAGAAAAGGGGAAAATATATTTTAAATATGCATGTTTCTCAAAAGATCACAAAATACTGTGTTTATAAATATTTTATTCAGTAAATAACACATATTTACTGTTCCTGAGCTATAACACTTTTTACCAGTGATATGGATATAACTCTGTTCTTGCTATAATAAATGAATAATTAATTCCGTTCACTTATAGAGAGCTTTTCTATACACTCCACTCAAGGCACTTTACAGGTAATGGGGACTCCCCTCCACCACCACCACATAGCCCCACCTGGATGATGCAATGACAGGCATAGTGCGCCAGACCACTCACCGCACATCAGATATCAGTAGGGAGAAGAGCAGAGTGATGAAGCCAATTATCAGCCAATTATGGGGATTATTAGGAGGCTAATGGGAAATTTGGCCAGGAAACCCTGGTAACATCCCTACTCTTTTTGAGAAATGCCCTGGGATTTTTAATGACCACAGAGAGTCAGGACCTCGGTTTTACATCTCATCTGAAGGACAGCGCCTTTCTACAGTACAGTGTCCCTGTCACTATACTGGGGCATTAGAACCCACATAGACCATAGGGTGAGTGCCCCCTACTGACCCCACTAACATGTCTTCCAGCAGCAACCTTAGTGTTTCCCAAGAGGTCTCCTATCCAAGTACTGGCCAGGCCCACACCTGCTTAGGTGATATGGCTACTGGCAAAATATACTCTGCGGGAGAATTGAACACAGAACCTTCTGGGTATTGGGAACATAATTATACCACTGTACCAAACAGTCAGTTATGATTTATACTTATTATGATCAATAACCTTAATTGTAGTAAACTTCCTATGGCATTTCCCAAGAAGAAATTCATTTCAGGTTACAAGTCTTTACCATTATATCTCACAAAGAAACTGGGGAAAATACTTTGACTCACAAAAACTCACTAAAATACTCTGAATCCCAAAAAGAATTAAGTTTTTGCCACTCTTTGTACACTGTTTATAATGTTGTGCAACAATAAAGGAACAAATGATTTAAGCAAGGCCTTTTGTTTGCTTGACATCCTCTTAAAAAATAATTAAATTCTCCCTGTTTTCCTCTTTCTCCAATGTTACCTTAATTGGTATTTTTCCATGTTTAATCATGAATTGGAAGAGAAAGGAGTCAGAAACCCACTAAAGAAAAATGGGAAAATGTATTTCCAGCCAAAAAGTTGTGAGTTGATATGATGTGAATAGGTTTGAATAATGTAATGAAATCTGTTGCTCAAGGTGAATGGACACAAGCCTTTGGATTCTCAGTGTTCAGAGCTCCACTAGAAAGTGTTTGTTTTGTCTATTGGTTAGTTTCATGGACAAACGATACTGTGATACATGCTGATATACACACATACACACCACAGACTGTACGTCTGTGACATGCTGTCCCAGTTTGAAGATCTTCAAGGTTAACTCTTCATGCTAAGTAAATAATAGTTATGTCACATTCTAAAACAGACAATTACATTCATTTTTCTGTATTTCTTTAGCAGATGTGGCCTTGAACTAGATGACCCAACAAGCCTCCTCTTATTTGTAACTATTCTTATGTTCTTACAAAGTCAAGACAAATGTTGTGTTTTGAAGAATATGTTTGCCAGAGTGTCAACTATACATGTGAGAGTTAATTTGTAGGAGCCTGGTTTTGGAAGACAAGCTCAGATTTGAGATGAAGTGGGTGTGTTTGGGCACACATTTCTCTGCCTGCGTATCTCAATTTATGTCAGTCTGTGCTAAAGACGCCCAGCCACTATGTGATTTCATGTTGTAAAAAGAGCACTGCATTCAAAGAATGGCAGCATGTGGTTAGCATTGCTACATCACCCCACTTGGGCCCTAGTTCAATTCTGGTCCAGGTGTGCCATCTGGGTGGAGTTTGTATGTTCTCCCCACGGTCAGGTGGGTTTCCTCTGGGTGCTCTGGTTTCTTTTCACAGTCACAATACCGGTAGGTGGACTGGCTTCTTGAAAAAGTGGCGCTGGTGTGAGTGTGTGTGTCTATGTGCGCCATGCCATGGGCTGGCGTCATGTCCAGGGTGCACCCTGCCTTACACCTGTTACTTGCTGGGGTAGGCCCTGGCTCCCCTGCTGCCCTGAATTGGATGAAGGATTAATGGATGCATTAAAAAATGGGGAGTGGTGGCTAAGGATCTGCGCCCGCGGCTGGAAGGTTGCTGATTCAAATCCTGTGGCCAGCAGAGGAATCCTACTCTGTTGGGCCCCTGAGCAAGGCCCTTGACCCCAGCTGCTATAGGGGCACTGTATAAATAGCTGACCCTGTGCTCTGACCCCAAGCTTCTCTCCCTGTCTGTGTGTCTCATAGAGAGCAAGCTGGGGTATGTGAAAAGACAAATTCCAAATGCAAGAAATTCTATATGGCTAATAAAGTGATCTGATCTGAAGAATCATTCAGAAATCCAGTGCTGACTAGCAGTAAAAGTCTGATGATGATAAAGATGACTTTACCACTGGCCATCAATTTTAAATTCGGTATTTTGAAAGAAGTTTTTTGAAGTTCAGAAATGCTATTCATACGAGTACCTTGCTCACTAACAAATATAAAATATCTGATAAAGTGTGATTAGTGCACCCTTCTTGCAACAATGTGACTATTAACATTTCTTAAAATAATTTTAATACAATAATTTTAATTTGCTACAGGCTTTAAATCATCCATTATGTCCTTATTATCTGCATTATTTCTCTTTCATTGTGTGTTCATTGTTAGCTAAGGATAACCTTCTAGCTGTGTCTTTTCAGTCCTTTCCTTCCTTTCCTTGTGAGGACATGTTCCACTTGGCTCTCCCTTAGTGATTTTCTAATATCATTGTAATGTTAGTCCTCTACACAGATGCTCACCGAATGACAAAGTCTGGCTAGAGTTTGTTGTTCACTGCTTCCTGACTGCAGTGTTGCTTCAATTCTTTTGGTCTGTCCTCATGTCAGTGGTGGGTCACACATTGCTTCTTACTAGAAACATTGTCCCAGAGACGTAAAACACACTATTTATTTACGATAGCAGGTCATATAAGACACAGAATGGAGTGTTTTGCTATGGGAAAGCCTCAAATTGCTAGTCAAAACTTAGTATTAAAAAAGTACTCAGCAGAAGCCGAAACAATCCTTTCATTTCTACCTCTTAGGATCCAGCACTGACATCCGTTAAGGTCTTCTTGTCCCACAGAACAAAAACCCAAAAATGAAATATGTGCTCACTTTCAGGTCTGAACAGGCTGCATAATGAAGTCTCTCCTCCCATGTTGGCATCTGTCTCTCTTCTTGGAGTCAACGTGATATCATTGAGGACTGTAATATTCAGCAGCATCATGACAAAAAATGCAAATAGGCTCAATAAACTCATCAAGAAGGCTGGCACT